TTGATCCATCCAACCAACCAACCAACCAACCAACCAACCAACCAACCAACCAACCAACCAACCATCATCCATTCATCCATCCATCCAACATCCATCCATCCATCCATCCATCCATCTACCCATCCAACCAACCAGCCAAACATCCATCCATCCATCCGTCTGTCCGTCCGTCCATCCATCCATTCATCCATCCATTCATCCATCCATCCATCCATCCATCCATCCATCCATCCATCCATCCATCCATCCAACTAAACATCCATCCATCCATGCTTGGATTGGTTCTGCTTGTGTCCAACAGTTTTATTGGCTGCAGGTCAGAGAGTCAGGTTGGTTGGATTGTGGTCTTGCATTGACTGGACTTGTCCAGGACATTTATCTGGYTCTCCTTAAACCAGTGGAGTGTTGCTTCAGCAGAGGGTTCAGGATTATTGTCCTGCTGGAAGGTGGACCTCCATCCCAGTCTCAAATCTCTGGAAGACTCAAGCAGTTTTTTTTTTGTATTTTTCTTCATTTGTCTTTTTCACAATACTAAAAAGTCTAAAAACATCTACACAGCATGATGCTGCCACCACYGTGCTTCAATGTGGGGATGTTGTCCACTGCAACTAACAGTGGTTCTTTACACAAATACTCCTGAATCTGCAGAAGAACTGCTCATTAAATGGCCAGCCTCTCCAGAACATGACCACAGGAAACCATGTTCTCCAAATGTCTGATGCCTGCGCTCATTTCATAACTACTACAGCAATCACATTTCACGTAGGTTCTCATAATTACATAATGTGTGCATTGTATAATGTTTGTGTCTCAGGACATTTCCACAATCATATGCTTACGCACAGAAACACCCATACACTCACATTTACTCAGACGGAGAAAGAAGGTGAGTCACTCTCACCACCACGGGAGCTAAAAGCATCAATGTCTGGCATCCTCCCAGTTTCTGCTGGGTCACACAACCTACACWCACCCACTCGCTCTTTAAGTTTAAAGAAGCAAAAATCGGAGACATGAAAGACTAATGAGTAAGAATGCTCCGAACCCAATCCCAAAGGTCCAAACACTGTGTACGGTGCCACATATTTATACGTTTCCCATCAGAGCTCCAAACAACAGTAAAAACTACAGACYGCAGCTGACAAAATGTTTTATTTCACCACAAACAAGTCAATCATGTTTCCTCCCACACGCCATTTAATAAATTGTTTGCCGAAAGCTCAATCAGTATTTATGACTGTTTTTTGAAAAAGAGTTCACATTAAATATAAATAACTTCATGTGTAGGCTTGCAGTTTTATCTTTTTAAGATCAAAACAGAATAAATCAATCTAAAGTCAGAGCATAAAAGAAAAACTATTGTACAAAAACAACAATTTTAATATTGATCTGACATCAAATTTTGGTTTGAGACCGTTTTTTAATGTAATTACACACACGCGCGCGCGCGCACACACACACACACACATACTGTATATTAGGGGTGCAACAATACAGAAAATTCACGATTCGGTTCGGTTCGATACTTAAGTCTCATGGTTCGATATTTTTTCGATACGAAAAGGAGAAATGTCCATGCCCCTTTTAACTTGTAATTTATTTAAATTAATTCTGAACATTTGTTTAACCTCAAAAGTACAGTTTTTAAATTAAATGTTGCTGAAACAGCAAGTTTCTCAGTGGATCTGCGCTCAGAAATGCAGCCTAGGTGGAGTAGTCGAACACAGATCCACTGATCCTTCAACACAGAGCGTCTTCAGAAGACAAGCTGATAAAGTAAATTTTATAAATCTGTATTGTTCGATACAAGTGTGTATTGAACCTAAAGCACGGTTCGATACGGTTCAATACATGTATTGTTGCACCCCTAATATATGTACATATTATTATTATTTTTAATCTGTGAGGGAAGCTGTTGTGAAAAACAAAGATGATTTAAATGATGGTGTGAAGCATCTAGTGTCACCTATAATCAGACTAATTTTGAGTCATCTCTCCCTTCTGTGTTTGAAAAGATACAGTGTGATGCTAAATAAAACAGCTTGTTTCACAGTTCTCAACTTCACACAATTCTGCATGAATAAAACTGAAATAATCACAACATTCCTCGAAGGAACGGTAAATTCTAATGATCCACTGCATATCTGCATGATATCGTAAAAAATAAATAAATCTGAGAGTCTGGGGAAATCTCAGCGTCTTAAAGGCCAGGGCCAGAAACCAGCGCAGGCTGACATTTGAAACCTCAAGCGGAAGAAACGAGGACGAGAACTCGCATGAGAAATCGTCCCGATCGATACACCCACACGGCCCGGACGCAGCGAGCAGCAGAAACGTAACCTGACACTGCATTAGGCAGGGAGGAAGCCATAAATCAGCTCAGCACAGAGACAGATGGACAGAAAGACACTGGACACGTTTCAGCTGCTTTCTGAGCAGAACGAGGGGGGTTCTGTTTCCCAGTGAGGACAGGGACCATCTGAAAGGGCGACACAATGCCACCTTTTTTGCTGAAATGCAGTGCCAATATGGAGTAGTACCAGCTGAGACGAACTGAACCGAAACGGGCAAAACCTCTTTGGCAATAACTGCAAATTGTTGCAACCTAAAAGCACATTTTGGTGTCTGTTTTCTGCTTTTGCTCCCAGTGAATCTTCACCGGATCAGTCAGACGTTCGGCTCGGACTGGTTTGAAGCAGGGAGACCCTCATGATTGATAACCGTAGAAGCACTCAAGGATGCGCCGACAGCTTCGCGCGACGCTCCTCACGTGCACGCAGCCCTTCGCCTCCGAGGCCCGTGTGTTAATGCACTGTCTGCTGGCTATTTTCATTAGGTAAATGCATGTTGATGACATGACATGATGGATGGGCTGTTATTTTCAGCACCAGCCCGGGCTTTGAGTGAGGCTCAGCAGTACAACCAGGCGCCGGGAATAGTCGACTTCTAACCGTAAACATAAAGCTAATATTTATCTTACGTTGACAAAATGACTTATACTTTTAAAAAGGTGCTCAGTTTATACAGCCTATAAATACATAAATCTAACTTGGACTTTCTGTCAACTTTACATTTCAGTATGAATTCTGATGGTTTGCGACCAACAAGCTGCGCGAATGCTTTAAAAAATGGTGTCCTGTTTCCATGAGCACGGTTTGTAAAGCTGCATTTATGGCCATGCACATTATTTTATTGCCCCCACATCGTATCGCCTCGACCTGATTTGTACCCACCTTTGCAGCCACCCTCATGTTTATAATTAAATCTGCTGGATTACTTTTGAAATGAAGATGGGCAGATTTGGACCACTTCTTATATTTATTTTTATTGGTCGTATTTACATCTGATAGTCCGGCAGACTCAGTTTGATTGGGGAACAAAATTGCAAAATTTGATGTTCATGGGTTGATTGGGTTATTAGTGCTTTAGGATTAGCTTCTGCTAAAACTTTCAGTGCGTTAGTGCTTTAGAATTAGGGGACCAAAATATTTGAGTTAGTGTTTTAGGGCTAGTGGAAGTGATTAGTGCTGTCCACCACTGCGCTGCCAAAAAACCACTGAAGGAATCGACGTGAGGAAGACATGGAACACAACTTCCTTCTTCACAAAACGTAAACAAACATGGAGTGACGTCAGATTTTAGAGGTTGTAGGAATGAATTTTTGTTTTTTGGCAAATGTGCCAAACAAGCACTCTTCAACGATGAGCTCATCGTGAGAGGAAGATGAGGCAGAACCGTGGAGAACGTGACCGAGACGTCTCCATATGAGGTGGCTTTCACAGAGTAGGAGTGCGTCTAACTTCACAGCTGTGGTGTCCACCTTATACAGACGTCCAGTGAGGTATTTACAAGATATAAGTAACTTTATGACTGTTACTCAGAATGACCTGTGCAGTCCACTTCCTGCTTTTGGAGCGCTCTCCAGTTCACTTGGCGTTCACACATGCAGTCGAACTGCACCAGAGTTCACTTCATCCAAACCAAGACCTAAGTTTTTAGGCGGACCACCCATTGTTTATCACTGGTGTGGGTTTAGACGTTTAGGGCTCTTAGAGGAGAGCTTCCAGACAGATGAATTAAAAACACTTTTATTGTGACAGGAAGCAAACATTCTGGACAACTCTGTGACTATTTTGAGAGAAAACTTGTCATCTATGTGTTTTTGACCATGTTCAAAATTTGAGCAACAAAGACTTACAAGTAGGGTTGGGCAAAATCGTATCGTGTGCCGTTAATCATCATCGATTATTTTTTGGCACTTGGCGAATAATACAATTAATGCCATCAGAAAGACTGACTGGAGATTTCCCGGGTCAGTCCACTCAATGCTCCGCTCCGCTTCAAATATGACAAACATTTTCATTTCTTTCCCATAASTCTGGTTTTACTTGGCCTATCAACACAATTTAACAACTGAYGTAAAGCCTGAAGTCTGTRCGTTTGACACAATTTGGAACAGATTTTTACAGAGAGCAAATCTTTCCCACTAGAGTGATTTAAATTGGTCATGTGACGAGGATRTGCAGGCRTCCAGGGACCCCRGGGGATATCATCATATTAATCGTTATYGGCTACAATTAATCGTGAAATTTTTTTTTGCCAATAATGCCCAACCCTACTTATAAGAAATCAACTTGCASAGAAATTGAGAGTCCCCACAGATGTTCTGTTGTAGTTGTTTGTCACCAACAGTCAGAACTCATCAGGTGCCCTGGTCCAGGCTGAGCCTGGCTGCTCGTCAGAGGAAGTTTGTTTCTCTCGGTCCTGATCCAGACCTCGTGATTATAAGTGAGCTTTGCTTTTTGACTCAGCTCTATCTTCACCACAACAAATCGATAGAGTCCGGATCACTGCAGATGCTGTCCGAATCCATCTGTCAAACTCACAAACACGACTCTGAGACGCTCGAACTCTTCCGCTTGAAGTTCTCCCTGACCTGGAGGGAACATTTCACCTTTTTATGGACGAGAACCATGGTTTAGACTTGGAGAAGTATTGTGAAATAAAAAAAATCACAACTTTACAACATAATCCCTTATTAACCTGTAAAACTAGATTAAACTTTACACTCACACGTCCAACCATAAAGCTAAGTAGCATCAGGTGTTTATATTTGAAGCACATCTCTCTGATTGCTCGTAACAAAGYGTGACTCGTTTTCACATCCAGGCTGCTGGTTGTTGGACAAACAGGCTGATTGCAGCTGACAGGCAGCTCCATGCTGAATTCACTCAGCCTCAGATATTCTGTTACATTCTTTACACCTCCTCTGTTGGACTTTGTTGGAAGGTTTGTTAACAGGATTGGCGTTTAAAGTGAGTAAAAACTAATTTTGTGTATGAATGGTTGAAAGAGTCCTTGGACTGGATAAAGTGCTAAATACAGTAAGTTCAGGCTATTTAGCATTTATTCTCATAGTACATGTACAGTTCTAAAGTTTACTTTTAAGGCTCTAAAGTAAGTAGGTTAATAGTCACATGTTGCGGCGTTAAATGGGTCAGTCACTGTCACATCTGATCAAAGACACACACAATGCAGATAAAACACTTATTAAATAATTACACAGTAACTAAAATCCCTGCATGCATCTTTTCATTCCAGAGTTTTAAACTAAGAGCATTTTACTGTATATCCGTTTTCGCCAAACCTTTAAATAACAATGTGCTTGATAACTTGTAATATTATGAGATCCCAGGAGACCTGTCAGCACTTGGAATATGTAATTAAAACGAATTATCAGGGGTTTATGTTTTAGATTTTTGATTTTAAATCTAAACGAGAAAAAAAAAACATTGCAAAAATAAGAAATGCTGCACTTTTTTCATTTTAAAGATTAAAGCAGAGATGAGTTTTATGTTTCGTTTGTGCACCATTTGAGACCTGGAGGAGCCTGAACATTTTCACTTCTGATCATGGAAATGTTTGTCTTATTTAGAGAGAGTCGACGCGTCTCATCGAGAGCTGATGATTTTACCGTGAACAAAATCGCTTTAATATTCTAAGTTATGCAGAATAAGGTTTGAGTTTAGCCAATGCCAACTTCTTTAGGAGAAGTCTTCCAGACATTATAAACTCTTCTTTTTTTAGCCACTTGCATCATTTTTAGTATATTTAGAATTTGGATAGCTGATGCAAAAATTGGACACTTTGAATTTTTTATTAGTTGGATTTTAAATTTTCATATTTAAGTTTTAAAAACAGAAAAACAAAAAACAACAGTTTTGAAAGTAAACAAACAACAAATCGTTTGGTTTTAAAACAAAAAAAATTTGCAGTGCACCGATAAATCTGCCAGCTGATTTATCGGAACCAGTTTCTTTATTTTTGGGAGATTGGAGATCGGCCAATACTTGGATAAAATTGGTGGAAAAGATCAGCTTCTCATCTCCCTTCACAAAGGTCTGAAAATCATCCACTGTCCCTGTTTGCTCTGCTGTGAGCGCTACCTAATGTCCAGTTAAACCAAGTTTGTGTTTTGTTCAAAGCATTTCAGTAAACACTGGAGCACTGAAGTTGTATTGGGACTTTATAACACCTGACAGTGTCACCTATTTAAAAAATCAGAATCGGCAGGTCAGGTTTTTTTAAAGATYGGTGAACGGCCAGAAAACTGCAATCGTTACACACCCACTAAAAAACTAACAAACAAAAAAAAAAAAAACCCCACCAGATTATTTGTCTTTTCTCGTTTTATTTTGAAACAGAAAATCAAAACAAAACAAAGAACAAACCAAACACAGATTCTCTCAGTTACTGTCAAATAAAACTTTACCTCAGTAGCTGTAAATTTACATTTAAAGCTGTTTTAGGTTGGTTAAGGTCAAGTTGACTGCGAAAGTTAAAGTTTCAACCCTCCTGCTGCCCTTGGGTYGTAATGACCCACAATGTCTCAGTGTGACAACTGAGTTCCTGTTTGCTCTCATTAAGTAATGACTCTCAGCTACTACCACAACAAACATTAGCTCCGTAACAAATCTATAATTTTATTGTAAAGCTGCAGATATAGACATGTGCGGGTGATGTGTAGTTCCTGGAAACAGCTCCTACCGGCTTCTTGTTCGTATCCAAACTCCAAACAGAGTATTTGGTTTCTGTCAGTGTGTGTGTTTTAATGCCACTAAGTTTCAGCCCTGATCCTTACACTAATTCATCCTGACAGATCCGTCATTCTCCGGGGGGGGGGGGGGGGAACACACATGCCTCCCCTTCCTGCGCTGACTTAACATTCGAACCGAAATATGCACATGAATGATTCATAAGATCATCGAAAACAATCCTAGAAACACCGAGTCAAACTCTTCTCTCACAGAAGGCTGCCTGTGGAGAAATGCCTGTCGGGAATTACAAACAGACATTTAGCAGAGATTGTTTGGGTCTACTCTGAATACGACTCTTTTCCTGTTTGCGTTTTTTAAAAAAACGTTGGAGGAACACGGTGTTCTGAACACATGTTGGACTTGGCAGAAAAGGCAGTGATAAGTTGCTGAAAAAATAAATTAAAACAGCCTCTGTCAGCGTCAGTTTGTCCAATTATCTCTGGAGACATTAATAAGGAAAGCCTTCAGTGTTACAGTAATGATCAGTTTGTCCAAAGTTTAATAAAGTTTCTGTTTGTTATGTTAACCCATTAAAGGAAAACACAGAACAGTGCTGGTCTTACTTGTTGAGTTTGGCCATGTACATCTTTATGTGGCCAAAGTCGGGCCTCTCTGTCGGGTCCTCCGACCAGCAGCCCTCCATCAGGATGGTCAGCTCCTCCGGGTGACATTTGTTGTCCGTTGTCGGCCGAAAGTACGGCTTCTGACCGTTCCTCACCTTCTGTATGATCTCTGAAAAGAAGCCAGACTCAGTGATTCTAAATTAATAAGAACTAATGACAAAAACACGACAAAAATAAACCCTTGAAGGAATGCATATCCCTCAAAGTTTTAACTAAAGTCGTCGTGTGATCTGCTAGCTCTCAGAGAATGTGTTGAGGATGACTCTCAGCTACTACCGCACCAGATTTTAGCTCAGTATCCAGTGGAGGGCACAGCTAACCAAAATGTTAGGTTTACTACGCAAGGCTCTTAGCTCTGCTAACGCTAATCCGTTAAACAGATTAAAAAAACTTTATCAAAGCTAATGCTAACCGCAAACCACTAAGACAACAGTCTCCTTCCAGTTGAAGACTGGTGGACTGACACAAACCTGTCCTTAGTTTTCTATTCGTTTAATTTGAAGGTGGGCGGGATCATCCGTGGCAAATCGGCCAATCCAAACCCGAGTTATAGCTCTGTCTAACTGGTGATACTTCCAGTTTTCCTCTTTCAGAATAAAATATTTTGTTTGATCGAGTTTGTATTTTTATAAACAACAAATAGCAACTTTCTCTACTATATTTTATGCATAGTAAACATTTGGATTCATTTTTAAAATATTGTTAAGGTTATTTGTTTTTGACGCTTTTAGWTTGAAGTTTAGCTGCTAAAGATGCTACATGCTACACAGACGGTGCTAAACACGCCCAGCACTGCTTGTAAGAGGGGATAGTTTTTATTTAATTCAGGATAAAGAACATAAAAATAGAAGTTTTACACTTGTGATTGTTTTAGTGGACGTAAAATTGGCAGAACCTAATTTAGCGGAAGCTAATCGGTCCGCTAAAAGTTTCCAAAGATAGAAAAAAAGTTAGTCCGCTAACGAAGAAGCTTGTATTAGCTGTTAGTAAATTAGTATTAGTTATTAGTAAATTAGCAGAACTGTGGCCACCTGTAAACACGACTGAGCTTCAGCCTTTTTTGTGTCTCAGATATAAGCTGTAGTGGTTTTTGGGACTCCACCTGGTTTGACGTCTGGCCAACATGTGTTCTTTGTTGGTGAATATAAAGTAGCCTGACTTCTCAATGTTCATTCTGAACTGTTGGCAAAACCAAATTTAATTCTGCCACAGTGGCAGCAAACCAGGCAGAGTGATGTTACAGAAGTAAATATTTTGTTAAATCAGGCTGTTTGTGGTGATTTCACAGAGTGATTCTTTTGTCTTCGGTGTTCAGGTCGAAATGAGTTTGAGCCAGCTGGACTCCTCGAGGCTCGTAAAACTCGGCTGTTTACCTTTAGGGCTGAGGTCCATGCCTTCCACATAGAAAGGTCCATTCCTCAGAGCTATTTCCTGCAGAATGATGCCAAAGCTGTACACATCACCCTTCTGAGTCCCCTGAGGGGGGTGGCGGTCATATATGAGCAGCTCAGGAGCTGTCCAAAGCTTTTCTGATAAACAAACAAACAACAAACTCAGAGAAATGAAGCAGATGCCGAATGTTTTTGTGAATTAAAGCAGGAAATGGGCTTACTTGCGTAGAGGGCGTGCGAGTCGTCGTTTTCGCAGGATGAGCGGAAGCTGGCCAAGCCGTAATCTGTGATTTTCAAAACAAATCGACTGTCCACCACGCAATTAGATGATTTCAGATTTCCATGGCAGCCAAAGTAGCTGTTGTGGAGATAGTTCATTCCCTGGAGCAGAGACGGTAGAGTTTTATAGTTCTCCCTCTCTCTCTGGTTTTTTCACACACAGAAATAAGCTTTGACGAGTGTACATACTGGTTTGTCTCTAACAGCTCTGTTATTTCATGAGATTACTGCTAACTCCTCTGGGGGCAACAGGGGGACGGCAGGTTTGGACTGCAGTCACGCTCAATATGTGGAAACACCGAGTCAAACACCCCTGAAAGCCTCATCAGCTCATCTTCTCTGCAAAATGTTTCTATCTGCGTGGACCGGTTCGGCCAAAGCACTCAGTCATGCGTCTCGTCCAACAAAGAAATCTGTCCAAGAGACACAGCGTCTGACAGAAAGCCCTGTTTGTTTGGAGAGATTAACAAGAAAAACACTCCTTTATGACGAGTTCTGACTGAACTTCAGTAAAGCCTACCACAACGTTTTAGTGTTTTAATATCTGTAGTTTCACGCCGCAYGCTGAGCCAACAATATGTATCTTTGTGTGCTTGTTTTTCTGCCTGACTCCATTCTTTCTGCTCATGTGAAACCATAGCAACCCCGACAAATATCTGCATATGTGTACAGCTCACCAAGCGGGCTCCTGACAGTGTTTGTTTGGAAAACAACATATAAATCAATAGCGTGGCCGCTGACGTCTGGGTTTCATTTGTTCACCGCGTCTCCGGCCTGAAGGCCACTTACCTTCACGATGTCATTGATCAGCGAGTAGCGGAACATCCAGTCCAGGTTGATGCTCTCGTTCTCCAAGATGTCCTGGAAAAGACCAGAGCAGATCGAGAAAAAAAAAACTGTTAGAACCCTTTCAACTTGTGCAGCAACTTCTCACAGGCCTGAAAGTTTATTTTAGGATGACATACAGAACCAACATTTTTTTTCACGTACCGACCCCCCCCACACGCCCCGCCGAAGATTAATGATAAACTAAAAGTTCCCCGCAGCTGACCCCGTTCCTGGAATCTGGGTCCAGCTTTGACGTCCAGCTCCATCACGTCAGTTTAAACTCTCCGTCTCTTAACGGAGAAGCATTTCTAACAGGCCTGAGTGATGAAATCCAGAGTTTTCAACATTTCCCAGAACACGCTTCATTACAACAACATGCTGCCTTATCAGTTCAAAATACTCAGAAAATTCAATAAATATGAGAAAAGATTGGAACGTGTCGACTCGTGTTTGCCTGAATGTTGATTCAGCACTCATACAGTTATTTGGCTGTTTATTAAGGTTTATAAAAGGAAAGTTTAGCTACTGAAAGTAGGATTTTTCCCACTTTATCAACAGTTTTCAGCAAATTAACGCCTAAAAATGAGATTTTTTTTTCGTTACAGTAAGCTCCATTTTGGATCATAAAGGCTAACACTTAAAATACTTGTATGTGATCATCACATCAAATTCAGGATTAAGTCAAATTTGATCAAAATGACCTCATAACATTTTCAGATTCCTGCTCTTTAAACTACATTTTGATTCAATTTCCAGAGACATGAAGTCATCTGTCTCCTAATCAGGAAAACTCTTTGATATTTGATCTGAATCCTACTTTAGTTCATCTAATGAGGAATTATTGACAACGTTTTAGAGAGGAAACCTCAGATAGTTTTTGGAAATTGTGATTTCCCAGCTGGGAAAATGAAAAGCTTTCGTAGCTCGCAGGAGAAGTGACAATAATTTAAGGCTTTTCTGCTTAAATCATGTTTTTTGTTTAAAAAGGTCTTTAAATGATCCATAGATATAATATATTTGTTATATTTTGACAAAAGGCAGTTGTTGCAAATGTTTTAACCCATCCATCCATCCATCCATCCATCCATCCAT